CTTATTATGAGTCATAATGTTTTGTTTTGTTTTCAAAAAGAAATTTTAATTTGGATGAAGTCCAATTTCTCTTTTTTTTTTTAGGGTTAGTGCTTTTAATAGGCCCAGTATACGAAATTAGTGCACAGGGAGGGGGTGTCCCTCAGCCCAGCCTGAACCCTCTGCAATCTGGGACCCCTCAGACATCCCTCTCACAATCCGGGACTGCTGGTTCCTAACCACTTGTTACCTGCCTGCCTGATTGCCCCTAACCACTCTGCCTGCCAGCCTGATAGCCCCCTAACTGCTCCCCTGCTGGCATGATCATCCCCAACTGCCCTCCCCTGCTGGCCCGATCGCCCCCAACTGCTTTCCCCTGTGGGGCTGACGGGACTGGGGGACTCTGGCTGGATGAGGCAGGACTGAGGAGACTGGGGGACTGAGGCTGGATGAGGCGGGGCTGAGGGGACTGGGTGCCACCATCTTGTGGCTGTGGGCACTGCCATCTTGTGAGGGTGTGGCAGTCAATTAGCATATTCCCTCTTTATTAGATAGGATAATTAGTTTTAGGTGTACAATATGATTTCATCCTATATAATAAAGAGGTAATATGCAAATTGACCATCACACCCTCACACAAGATGACCGCCCCCATGTTGTCACAAGATGGCTAGCAGGGGAGGGCAGTTGGGGGGGGGGGGGACCTGGCCTGCAGGGGAGGGCAGTTAGGCGTCAATCAGGCTGGCAGGGGAGTGGTTTGGGGGTGATCAAGCTGGCAGGCAGAAGCAGTTAGGGGCAATCAGGCAGGCAGGCGAGCAGTTGGGAGCCAGCAGTCCCGGATTGTGAGAGGGATCAGGCCTAAACCAGCAGTTAGATATCCTCCGAGGGGTCCCAGATTGGAGAGGGTGCAGACTGGGCTGAGGGACACCACACACCCCCCCCCCCCCCAGTGCACAAATTTCGTGCACCGGGCCTCTAGTATTTATATATACTGCTCACTGATCACCACATTAAATATAGTTACCATCCATCAACATACAGTTACAAAAATTATTTTTTTCTTGTGATGAGGATTTTTAAGATTTACTCTCTTAGCAACTTTCAAATATACAATATAGCATTATTAATCATAGTCACACTATGTTTATTAGTTTTATAACTGTAATTTTTTACTCCCTTCACCTATTTTGCCACCCCAAATTCCTAACTTCCCATCTCAATCCCTCTGGCAACCATCAATATGTTCTCTGTATCTATGAGCTTGGTTTTTGTCTGTTTGTTTTGTTTTTTAGATCCCACATATAAGTAAGATCATATGGTATTTGTCTTTCTGTCTGACTTAATTCACTTAACATAATGTGCTCAAGGTCCATCTATATTATCACAAATGGCAAGATCCCATTCTTTTTTTATGGCTGAGTAGCATTCCATTCTATATACTATACTATATAACATCTTCTTTATCCACTCACTCATCGATGGACATTTATCTTGGCTTCTGTAAATAATGCTGCAATGGACATGGGGGTGGGATGCATATATCTTTTCAAATTAGTGTTTTTGTTTTCTTCAGATAAATACCCAGAAGTGAAATTGCTGAATCAGATAGTAATTTTATTTTTTTGAGGGACCTCTGTACTGTTTTCCACAGTGGATGCACCAATTTACATTCCCACCACAGTGCACAGGGTCTGCATATAACTGGACCAGGTAATGTCAGATTTAATAAAAACTGTATCTCCATATCCCTGTCATCATTTAGCATTATTCAGTTTTCTATTTTATGCCAGTCTATTATAGGCATAAAGTGATAGTTCATTGTTTTAATTTGCATTTCTCTGGTTATAATGATTCTGAAGCTATTTTCATATGCTTATTAGCTTTTGAAGTTTGCGTATTCATTTCCCTTGCCCATTTTCCCATTGAAGTTTTTTTTTTTTATTGTTGACTAGAGGCCCAGTGCATGAAACTCGTGCACAGGTAGGGTCCCTAGGCCTGACTGGTGATCAGGGCCAATCGGGCCTTTCTTCCCCCGGCTGCCGGCCGGGGCCTTTCTTCGTTCTGTGCCGCTCCCTGGTGGTCAGCGCATGTCATAGCAAGCAGTCGAACTCCCAGTCAGTCGAATTCCTGAGGAGACAATTTGCACATTAGCCTTTTATTATATAGGACTTGCAGTACTTCCTTGTATATTGTAGCTATTAATCGATTTTTGACATCATAAATTACTATTCTATAATCTGTGTAACTTTTGTCCATGATGCTATTCATTAAATATAAATCCTTACCTTTAATGTAATCACATTATACAATTTTTAGTGTATGGTTTCAAAAAATTAAAATTTTTTTCTTGCCCTTAGTTCACAAAAATATTTCTCTTTCATTTTCTTTTATTAATTTTACATTTTACCTTTCCTTTTTGAGTCCATTAAACCATCTAGGATTTATCTTTGTATTTTGGTTTAGGTAGGTATTTTTTTGGCCAGATAGTAAGCCAGTTTTCCTAATACATATTTTAAACAATTCATTTTCCCCATTGTGTTTAAGATGCCCCCCCTTGTCATATATTAATTTCTCAGGTATATATGTGTCAATCTTTGTGTTTGCTCATCTTTTCTTTAAATAGAAGTTGATTTAACCATTAATGGACTTAGACTATTGCATGTGTTATAGAGTAAGTTTAGTAGAGTGAGTAATTAGTCCTTAACATACCAATTGAAATTTTATTTAGATTACACTGAATTTATACATTAATTTGGGGAGCGTTAATACCTTTATCTTAATTAAACAGTCTCATCCAGGAACAGAAATGTCTCTTCATTTATGCAAATCATCAACTCTGTTATTAGTGTGAAAATTCTCTCTAGAGAGATCATATATGTTCTTAAGTAATCCCTACTTAATAATTTAAATTGGTATTGGGGATAATATCCATTTATAGTTTATTAGTTATAGCTGCTATAGAAAAATGCAATTGATTTTTGTAAGGTGATCTTGTATCTAGCAACCTTGCTTTTTAAAAAAAAACAATTAGGTAGAGATCAAATTATCTGTAAATTATAGTTTTATCTCTGCTTTTCTAATTCTCACACCTCTTCTTTTTCCCTTTATGGCACTGTAGAGGATTCCTAGAACTATGGTAAATGGTAACAATGATACTGGACCCCCTTGTATTGATCTTAATCTTAAAAAGATTGTGTCTAAAGTATTTCCATAATATTTGTGGAAAGTATTAACATAATATTTGCTATAGATTTTTTGGTATATGACTTGCATCAAATTGAAAAGTTACCTTCCATTTGCTAAGTTTTTTTTATTATGAATAGGATTAAACCTTATAAAATGCCTTTTCTATATTAGGATAATAATTTTTCTTCTTTAGTCTATTAATGTGGTGAATTACAGCGATGAATTTTTGTGATAATAATGAACCATCCTTGCATCCCTGGAATAAATACCACTTGATTATCATGTATTTTTTAATACATTTTTGGATTTCATAGTTTGCTTTTAGGATTTTTGCATCTGCTAGATTCTATCTTCTTAGTATTTACTCTAGATTTTAGAATGAATATTTAAAGAAGACTGAGGTTATTCAGTGTCTTTAGTCTCCTCAAGAATATTCCAAGGACCAACTTCTGTGCTATTTCTGTCTAATATTTTAGTTCATGCTTATATTTTTAAATTTCACAAATCAAACATGATAGTTTTACAATACATGTTAATATTTACTAATTTTAAAAAACTTACTTTCTTACTCACTTTTCTTTCTTGTATCTCAGCCCTTCCATCTAGGATCATTTCCTTTAATAACAGCAAAAAGCATTTACTATGTGCCAGGTACTATTTTGAGGACTTTAAACATATTTTAATTTTAATCCCCCAATAATCCTATCTGGTACATAATACATTCCTTCTGTTTAAAGAAAATTCTTTAGAATTTTTTTCTCTAGATTTCAGTTCTTTGGTCTGTCCCTTTTTCCCTTTTTTGCAGGGAAAATAATTTTTCTGTTTAGAAGCACAGAGTGTATAGGATATCTCAGGGAGAAAGCAACAGTGGAAAAGAAAGACAGAACCTTGGCCCTGGCCGTGTGGTTCAGTGGTTGGAGCATTGGCCTGTGCACCAAAGTGTCATGGGTTCGATTCCCGATCAAGGGCACCAAACAAAGAAAAAAGAAAGCAGAATCCTGGAGAGCATCAAAGCTCATATGTTGTTCTCACGAGCCTTCCCTCGAGCGATGGTGCCCACAGGAACTGCAAAGCCAAGGGCCAGAGCCAGCGCAGTGGAGGTCACCGGAAGGGCTCTTGGCATGGAGAATGCCAGCCTTCTCCCAGCCCAGCATGTGCTTTGACTGCTATGCCTCCTTTCTCCACCTCCCATACCCCTAGACCCAACCCCAGGAGGGAGTGGCACTGCCCAGAAGTGACTAAATGTTAGCAGACCTTCCTGTCCCTCCCTGAAGCAGGGGTGCTCCTGGGATCAAGGACTGATATAGTTCACAGCCATGGAGGCCCACTGCTGTTTACTGCTTATGTCAACTGTGGCTGAAATAAGCAAGGCTGTCCCAGCCACGTGCTGGAGCGGAGCTGCTAGACACACGCGCTCAGAAGGAAATGAACAGTGAGTGGTAAGCAGTGCCCTTAGCTCCATCTTACCTTCCCCTCTAGTTGGCTCTGGGCCTCCCTTGTGAAGTCTGTGGGAATAGAAGGCTGTGTGGGCCTGTAAACAGGGAGCCTGGAGGCGGAGCCTGGAAGCTGCCCGCACCCGCAAATGCTATGGCCCAAGGACATCACTGAGGCAACAGGGGTCCCCAGTGGGAGTCAGAAACCCAGGCCGTATGTTTTCAAGGCCTTTTCCCTGAGATGCACTGCTCTCTCCTGCCTTTTAGCCAAGGTGCCCCTCTCCTTGTTTCAGTCCCCTGGGACCCCGTTTTCTCCCAGCATTAAGAACCATCTTCAAAAAGCAACACATGAAACCAGTTTTAAACCAACTTTAATCATTTTTTTTTTTTTTTGCTGCCCAAATACTGTACATGCAGAAGCCATGTGAAGAATTTTCTCCTCAAGGGAATTGGCAAGAACGTTGTACGAACGGCTGGCAAGTCCTTCCCAGCTGTCCACCTGCCACCCGGGAGCCACAGCCAGTTTGGAAAGATGCTGCACATAGAAAATGTATAGGAGCACAGATATAAAAGGCGAATTGCTTCTTTATCTAAACAGTGTGCTTGTCAGTCCCTATCAGCTATCTCTCTCTTTGCAGGATGCATTTGGATATTCTAGAAAAAGGGTTCCTTCCTCCTGTGAATTTACATTCTAAAGGAGCAGACCGAACAACCAGGCCAACTTTTCCCAAGGAAGCAGCCACTCAGCCTGCGGAGATGTCGCCTGGTAAAAGACACTCTGGAGAGAGGAGTGGTTTTAAGAAGCAAAATACGTGGACAGGACGTTCCCTCTCTCCTCCCATCAGAGAGCATTTCCTTTAAAATTCTCCCATGTTCGACTCTCCCACCGATGTCATTCTAGAAGCAGCAACGAGGACCAACTGCTGGTGGGGATACCAACCTACACAGGATGCAGCTGAGGTTGTAACATCACTTCAGCACCTTGAAAATTGTCCGTTGTAGACACCTCTTAATCATTTCTCATCATTCCACAAGAATAAGAAAGAATGAGCCACAGAGAGGTGGGAGCAGTCTGTTAGGGTTCCCAGAGTTCTCGTCAGAAGCAGCATCTGGGTGTGGACGGATGAGGACCTGCACCCGGCTTGGGTACCCAGGGCTGGAAGAAACCAGCCCGTGGAACCAGGTGACCAGGCTCAACCCTCATCAGCTCCAGATCAGACTTTCAAAACCTGGAGGGAACCGTGCAGCAACTAGCAAATGCTCTGATTTTGCAGATGAGAAAGCTGAGGCCCAGAAAAGTGAGAAGTCTTGCGCATGGTCGCGGTTTCTGGCAAACTTCCTATAACAGCCTTTGATGCTCTATAGCCAGCTGTCCAGGCCATTGACCCATGGGGTAGATGCTCTGTTGCCCCTGGAGTTCCCAGGGCTCATTTGTTAGCCCAGCTCTCTGGAACCCAGTCCCACAGGTCTTCCTGGCATTGGGGTGAACTCCTTGTTAGACCCAAAGCCCCTGTCCTTACTGGCCAAGCTTCCAACCAGAGCGCTGGAAGGTTTTACCAAAGCACTTACGCTTCTCAATGAGCAGTCTAGGCCCCTGAGAGAATGCAATTTCTCTCTCTGCCGTGGTTTCCCTCACAGGCACAGCCGTGCTGGGCCCACAAAAGCCCAAGCTAGGGGTGGGGGTGGGGGTGGGGGAGTTGCTTTGCTACATGGAAAGATTAAGCCCTTTTGTCAGAGAACAAGGTCCCACCGTCAGGCAGACCAACACAGAGCTGGTGCCCACGGAGGCCAAGTTGCTCTCTTTGGCATCACTGACATTGCTCTGAGATGCTCAGGCACTCTTTCAAATAACCCTTTCCCAGCCAGACCAGGTCGATGCAGCCCCGATCAGGCCTCACCTGATGGGGCAGGGCTCCCCTGCCCGTCAATCATGATTGTTTTGTTTTGCCCCAATCTCTTCTGACCTGAGTGAAAGCAGACTTGAGGGAGAAGGCAGGGGACAATGAGTCCGCATTCCCACCTCCTCCCTGATCATCCAGTGAAAGACAACGCAGTACAGGAAGCAGCATTTTAAAGACCCTCTTTACGTGTCAGGATATTGGAGAAGAGGATGCAGAGGAGGGGTGAGAAAGGGAGGGGTCAGCAGGGCAGCGGGCCTCTTCTTACCCACCTCCTTGCAGCCACTGCAGGACCACCCCTGGGCCCTGAATGACGCGCCATCTCCCTCCCCTCAGGTGGTGGACAACTCATTACAATGTCAAGCAAAGGCAGCAATTTCTTGCAGAGTTTGCACAGTGCAGGGAGCAATCAGAGAAATAGAACAGCAGCCTCACTGAAGCCGTGCTGCTTTCTGGGCCGAGGGAGACGGGGGATCAGAGGTATTAGGAGCTCTGGAGCCCCAGGGGAGGAGCACAGGTCTCCCGGGCAGCAAGGTGAAGAGCAAGAACCCTGGTTGGGTGTCAGGGCTCCTCGTAACGCAGTCTAAGATTGTGCTACATTTCATTTCCAAAGAAGTTCTCTTGGAGGGTTCTATTGTCTTTAAAAGGGGGTGCTCTGCTCTCCTCAAGGCTGGCAGTAAAGAAGAGCTGGGGCAGGCTTGCCCTGGTGGGTGCCATGCCCCGGGGAGGACTGGCTTGGCCTCAGTGCCATAGCGGGCAGTGATCCCACGAGTGATGAGCGGCTCTCTCTGGAGCTCCTAGGTTCTGCCTCGGCCAGTCCTGGACACGCCTGGGGCTTGCTGCACACGGCGGCCTCCCAGGGGTGCCTTTCCTAGGAGAGCTGGTGGTGGAACTGCCTGGATGGGGAGTCATTCTGGAGACAGGTCTTTCCTGCAGGGTCACATCCCCCTGGTCAAACCATGACGTGGCCCATTCGTGGAGCCCGGTTCATCCCGAAGGCCCATCACAGACTCCCGGTAGGGAAGCCATCTCTGAAGGGAGTGGGACGGAGTCAGCAGAGCAGAAATGTGAAGACAGCGCTCTGAGTCATTCATCAGGTTCCTGCCCATCGCCCAGCATCGCTGCAGGGCCTTTCTCTCTCCGCCACGTCCCCCACGAACCTGGCTGAGCAGAGGGAGATGGAGTGACAGAGCCCCCGTCTGAGATCAGCTCTGGGCTTCACCTGGGCTAAGGGGGGAGGGGGTTGGGGCCAGGATACTGTCCCTGGCAATGAGTTGGTCCCAGGTTGGGAAGAACTCTGGGGGATCTTGTTCCTTCCTCCCCCACCATCCCCTCTGAAAGAACAGATGCTCCCCGCCCAGGGACGGCTGGAGTCACACTTGAGCTCCCTCCTCTCCTGCGACGGGCTAATAGAGCTGCTTCTCAGACAGGCCCCTGCACCTGGGGTGCTGAGAAACAGACCCCAACATCCAGCCGGTCACCAACACACACACATCAGCCTCACACGACTCCACCCTCCTGGGGGCAACTCTAGGTGGGGATTAGTCACTTATTTGGTACAAAGGGTTAAAAAGAATCATCCCAAGGTCAACACGGGGTGGGGGTGGGGGATCACTGCCCATTAGAGATGGAGCTGTGGAGTGGGCCAACCCCTGGGCGGCTTTGGCAGCTGGGGATTGCAGGCAGCTCAGCCCGTTATCAACACATCAGGCCCCACCTCTGGCTGGCACCTCCCCTGTGCTAACCCAACTGCCCCCCAGGCCAGGGGCACCGGCCTCCAGCCACCCAGCGGCAGCCTCTCTGCTGGCAGCTCCTACCTTCTCTCACGTCTTTCTGGACCCTTTGAGGAATGAGGGTGACATCCCCCCTTCCCTGGGGGTGGCTGCATGGTCTGAGGATCGCCATTCGGAGCCACATCAGCAGATGTCCACACTTTCACCCATAAGCCCACCACCCGCGTGTGTTTTCACACCATCCTGAGGGCGACCTCTCTCGAGGTGAGCACATCACAGACAGGACATAAAGTACCTCCGAGGTGAGCACATCACAGACAGGACATAAAGTACCTCCGTGAGCGTGGGTCCTCCCTCTCCCCACCCTCAGATCAAAGAGCACAGAGCCCTTTGTTTCACTGTAGAAACATGAGAAAAGCAGGCCCAGTCCTGACAGCGGGAGAGAATCTCTGCAGAAAGAGAAAGTGGGACCCAGCTGCCCCTCCCTCTCTTCCACTCACCAGGGGTCTTCCACTCACCAATGCCGACACAAGAATGGAGGCTCGGGGCCAGGCGCTCGTTGTGTTTGTTTCTTTACTGCCCGTATTACCTATTCTGTGTCTGTGGGCAGGAATGACGGGGTCCTGGTTTCCTCCCCTTCTGTTTGGGGAGAAAAGGTGGATCCTGCCCCAAAAGGAGGCCCCTTGGCGGAGATGGCGGTATCTCCAGAGAGCTTCCCTCCACCTCCCTCAGAACCCACCTCCATGCCCGCCCGCTTTGGTTACAGATGGAGACCAAGCACTCAGGCTCTGAGCCTGCACTGCCTCCCGGTACATGGTTGGAGTCACTGCAGCACTGGGACGATGTCTGGGGAAGAGAGAGCCTGCCCCATACCGTGACCCCCTGGCCACTCTTTCCTCCCCAGACACGGATCCAAGGGCTGTTATGTCGGGCTCCTGGGCAACCTCTCACCTTTCACCCTCGACCTGAGGAGGGAGAGGACAGATTTGGGCATTCCTGAGCCAGACTTCAGTCCACGCACTGGTCCCACCCTCAGGACCCAGCCTGCAGACCAAGTCAGAGTGTGAGTGGCTTTGGGAAGCTCCAGCCAGATGGGTGGGATGAAAGCAGAGCGGGTAGGTGCCTGGAGCAGGCCAGGCCACTCTCCAGCAGGCAGCGGGCAGCAGGAGAGCTCAGGGAGGCAGGGAGGCCGAGCATGAGTATTGCTTTGTACAGAGCTGGTGGCTGTGGCAGACCAGAGTCCAGAGCCAGGCTGTGTGGGGCCAGGAGGCTGGAGCCCACATGAGTCTGAGCTCCCAGACGCACCCTGGTCTAGAAACGAGCAGAAGAGAGCCCCGAATGAACTTCAGGCAGCTAATCCCCAGACAGGATTCTCAACGGTGGCTCAGAGCAAGTCAGCCCTGCCCTCCTTGACCCAGCAAACAGCCCCACCCTCAGCACCTCCTCACAGGCCAGGCCCCACCAGGATGAGCCCTGTGGGGACAGGGCCACCCTCCGAGCCTGGGGAGGACACAGGTGCCTCCAGGGACTGTCTGCTTTGGCAGATTACATCCCCGCTGAGGCAGCCTCCTGGATGGCCACACCTCCCGTCCACACCTGCTGGGGTCCCCTGGGAGAGCTCCTTTGGCATGTCAGAGGTGCGGTGGCTTGGAGGGAGACAGGAGGTGAAGAGCAGTGCTAAGCGAGGTACCGGAACGTCCCCCTAAGGTGTCTGGCCAGCAACCCTGGAAACTAAGACCTCCCGTGTTTTGCTTGTAGGAAGGAGGCGGCTCCAGCCCGAGAGAGGAAGCAATCTCCAAGCCCTCAGCTCCCCAGGCATCTTTGCTTCCCAGGCCCTGGCCAGGGCACTAGCCGAGCATGCTACATGCTGCAGACGCATTCAGTGGGCAAAGCTGCCGGAGGACGGGTGTCAGGGTTCCCAGAGGGGCCTCGCGTGGCCAGCTGCAGTGGATGCTACATTCCTCAAAAAAGGTAGCAGTGCTGGGAGAGGCAAAGGTGGAACAAAGAACGAGACAGGAAACTCAGCAGGGACCACCAAGAGAAGGAACAGGCAGGACACTCGGGCTCTGCCCCGGGCACAGGACCAGGCAGGATGGACCAATGGCCACCCCCCCATTCCATCCCCGGACCGAGGGGGTATTGTGTTTACACAACACTCATTTGGGTTTCTTTTCAACAAGACACAGAAGGACATGGATTTTGGCCCATGTAGTCACCAAGACTGACTATACCCAGACAAATGAACAGATGTAACATGGTCACACACAGACACAAACACACACACAGACACACACACACACACACACACACACACACACACACACACACTACACTCTCCACCGCCAGCTGGGACGAGCCCAGTAGCCAACAGGCATGCAGCAGGGCGAGGGGCCAGAAAGACGTGAAGACTATGTACAAGGGAGTGGGGGGCACCCCTTCCCACACCACACCCAGCCTCTTCCTGAGGTCCTTAGGTGCACGAGGGGCTGGTGGCACTCTCCAGGGAGGACTGGGACAGGCGCCGGGTGAGGGATCCGAGGGTCGAGTCTGCCACGGAGGATGTGGGGAAGAGTTTGTACCAGCCGGTGACGGCGGCACTCAGGTCCAGCTCATCCAGCATGATCTGGGCCATGCCCATGAAGCACTTGTGGTCCATGCGGCCGTAGTCTCCCCAGACGATCACCTACCAGTGGGAGAAGAAAGAGGAGCTGAGCCACCTCCCCGACTCCAGGGCTGGGCAGTGGGCCCAGGAACCTACAGGTCTCACCAGGGCACAGATGGATGGGACAGAGAGCTGAAACTTGGCCTGACTTCAAACAACTTGCCGCCCACTTCACACAGGCTCCTACGGACTTTAAGTATATCATCTCCATTGTTGCAACCATCCAGGTAGAGGTGCCGTGTGTTATTTCCACAGAGGAAACTGCCGCTCAAAGAGGTTAATGAACTAACCCAAAGACACACAGTCACTGGTGGCAGAGCTGGGCATGTACCCTGGGTCTGACTTCTGGAGCTCCCAGCATCCCAGATGACAGCCTTCTCCGGGAAGGAGCAGATGGAGACTCCAGTCCCGCTCTGCTGCGGCTCATGGTGGGGCCTGGGCAAGCCCCTTGCTCTCCCTGGACCTCAGGGTTCCCATCCATCCATAAAACTGGGGGAGGGGAATAGATTAGCTCAGTCATTTTCAAACTTGTGTTTTTATTGGTGAATTCTTTTTTCAAAATAGAAATAGAATTCCGATATATATAAAAATGGACAACCAAGACCAAACTTTCCCCCACAGAACCCTAGGGCTCGTCAGTTCTTACTGTTTGCAGCTCCAAGTGCCTTTGCTATGGAACCACCTCAGCCCAGAGGAACAGTCATGGATGAGAAGTCCCACAGCTCAGACAGCCCCTGGCTCAAGCCTCTCCTCTGTCACCCGTGGCCTCGGGCAAGGCCGACAGCCCACCGCGACCACCACTGTTCAGAGTTAGCGAGTAGCCTTCTGTGTGACAGGCACTGTGTGAGGCCCTCCACAGGCATCTCTCATTTGATCTTCACCACATACTACAGAGCTAGTAAGTGATCAAGCTAGAACCTGAACCCAGGGCAGAACCCAGAGACCGACCACCACTGTGCTCGATCCCCCTAACCACTTGGGCGCCTCAGGCGCTTCATCTATGAAACAGGCGTGAGGATCCCTCCCTCCCGGGACTGTGGTGAAGGGTTTGTCACTCTCAAGGGGTGAGAGTCACCTTGACCTGGGCTCAGCTCGGCTCAGCAAGGCCCCAGCTGAAACCTCACGCCAGCCACTCCATCTTTGTTTCCTCATTTGTAAAATGGGAGAGTCACGCCTGCTTCACAGGTTCAGCTGGAGGATGGAGCGAGGTCACAATGGAAAGCAGCTCACAGCCTGGTGTGGAGCCGATGCACAATGAACCAGCGCCCGGTGGAACCTGGCAGTTGAGCTACCCTCCAAACCTTGGTTCCTTATGAACCAGCCGGGGGCAATCACACCTCACTGGGTCGTGAAAATAAATGGGCAACACATATTAACGCACCTGGCATTAGTACCTGGCACAGGAAGTGGCGTAAATGAAACAGATTTCAAATGATAACTTGCAGTCTTGAGCGTTGCCCTCTCACACTCACCTGCAGCACCTTGCCCTGGGGCCCCTCGTCAAAGAGCAGAGCCTGCTGGTACAGGGGGTCACAGGTCTTCTTGGCCACCTTTGTCTTCTTCTTGGCCAAGCAGGCCCCATTCTCAAGCAGGTAAACCTTGATATAGGTGGCTAAGGGATGGGAGAAAGCACGATGGGGAGGGGTCAGGAGCGACTGCTATGGCCTGTCCCATCCCCAACCCCCAGGTGACCCTGGAGGTGAGCAAGGTGAGTAGGACGAGCTGGCCAGTGGACAGCAGGTCAAAGAGACTGACTCCTCCGTCCTTCTCCACCCCCGCCCCTATTTCCTGGCCTTTTGGGCAAGTGGTGACTCCGGTGTTGAGGGTACTGATTTAGGCCAGTGGGGAACTAAGGACTCATTAGACCCAGACCTCAGCAGCATCCTCCTCACTGGGAGGACCCATTTCCAAAATCCTTCTCCCAGCTGCTCAGCCTCACCTGGGAGAGATTTGGAGCCAGGTTTGGGGGTCAGGCCCCGAGCCTCGATCACTTCCACTTCCAGCTGGCCACTCCGGTCCATGATGGCAACATGCACATCCCCTGCAAGGGAGAAGAGGGACAGTCCAGGCAGAGCCAGACGAGCCACTGTGCAGAATGCCAGCCTGCAGGGGCACTACCACCTGGAAAGGGCATGAGATGAAGAAAACTGCATGTGGGAGAACTGGCCTTAGGAGACACATTAGAGCAGCGGAGGAACACAATAATGGGTCCCTAGGGGTGGGGTGGGGGCATGACCCTCAAGGGACATGCTTGGGGACCAAAAGTGGCTGTCAAATGCTCATCTAAGCGTGGTTAACTGAGAAGCTCCTGTTTTACTGAGAAGAATAGGCAAGTTTGGTGGCAGAGCTTCTGGAGTCAGGAACACAGAGGGAGGCTGTGGGCTCAGGGGCTCTTATTCACCTTCTACACAGCAGCCCTCAGCCACTCCCCTAAATACATGTCAAATATTCAAAGACTATCAGCTTGAAGAGATGCTGAGATATGAGTCTGCCCAGGGCAGGAGCTACTCCCTGGGAACCAGGGCCTGCTTGCATCATCGCCAAAGGATGAAGGGAAGGCCGGCAGATTTCCTGGGAGCAGAGGACTGAGAACTCCTCACTGTGCTCCCACAAAACGGATCATCCAGCTGGGGCAAGTTCTATGTGTGGAATCGTGTCAGTTATCTGATTTCTAGAACTCTTAGCATTAGTCACTTGGAACACCCTTCCAAGCAGTGCAGAATCATCGCCTGATGTAGAAAAACTAAAATAGAGCTGACTGTGGGCTTAGGTACCCATTTTAGATTCTCTGAGCCATTATGCAATTGTTTGTATTTGCATACTTGGGAAGATGCAAATACAAACAAAGACATTCTGGAATTCGTCCCCCTTCCTCTACTCTTCCTGACCTCCCCACGGGGAAGTGGAGGGGGATGTCTCAGGAATTAATCTCCTGTCTCATTATAACACCCCCAAGATGAGCAAACACAAACCTGTCATTCCCAGTTTGGGACACCAGAGGGCACCACACGCATAATTCTAGGCTGTGATGGCGCATTTGCCTAGTGGAAGTGGCTGCTCCTCTCACTGCCTCCCAGCTCTTGGCTGGGCTCAGGGCTGCTGGGAAAAGCAGACTCCCGGGCCCCTAAGAGTTTGAAAGCAAGTGCTGAGAATTAGCCAGTCCAGCCCAAGAGCCAGCTCAGAGCTGACGCTCACCCTGTGGGCGCACCCCTCTTCCGCAGACAGAGAGAGGCTCCTGAATGAGCAGGGGGAGGAAGACAGGGCAGTGCAGTGGGAAGAGCCCTGGCGGGAATGAAATCCCAGCTCACTGTATGGCTCACAGCAGGGCGCTGTCTGCACTCAGCTTCCTCGTGTGCTTGAGGCCAGTGCAGAGGTCTGGGTCAGACACTGCTTGAGTCAGACTGTGGGGAAGAGGGTGGTCAGGAGGCGTCTCTGGGGAGGCTAGGCCTGGGAGCAGCTGCTTGAGCCAACATATCCACTAGCTAAGGGAGAGGTTGAGGAAGGAGCCAGGACTGCAGCACAGACTTCAGGAGCTACTCCTGGCTACAGGAAAGGGGGATGAAAAACTACTAAAGGCTTCTAGGTGCCAGACACTATTAGAAGTCAAATAAGACACAGTCCCTAGGATCAAATGAAATACTTCAGGCAAAGCATGAACCTCCCTACCCCTGACCCTCAATAAAAGAATAACCCTCAATCAATTGTTGATAGTGAAGGCAGGTATTTTTATTCCCATTTTATAGATGAGGGGGAACAGGCTCAGAGAAGAGACTTCCCCAAGGCCACTCGGAGAACTGGCGATAGAGCCGGCCCCCTGAAAACCAATGCCCTGATGATCTGTTCACCATTTTCCGTCCAGCACTTAGCAGAGCCGGCAGAGTGTGGTGGAGCGGAGCGAGGAGGAATGTGCTGGGAGAGCTGCTGCGGTGGCCTTCCCCCCGGCGGAGGGAGGATGCGTGAGTGCTGTGCTCACTCTGAGCTGGCAGGGAAACCTGAGTGAGGCTCGGGTCACGCAGGGCTCTGCTGATCTCACCCTTTCTGCCATCACCCCACTCGCCCTACCCTCATGAAGACTCACCCATTGGTGGAGTTGCCAGCGTCTGTCGCCCCACAATCTGGGCTGGTCCCAGCCCATCCAGGAAATCGCTGAACTGGCTTTCGGGCCCAAGCCGGGTGGTGGGGAAGATGAACCTGGGGAAGGAGGCAGAGGGGCACGTGAGGGCATCTGGCTGGTGGGATGCAGCGGCTCTGCCTCCCAGGCACTGGGCACTCCCCTCTTGCCTCAGTTTCCCCTCTACATAGTGTAGTGTACTACTTTGGCTGGGGACAGACAGTTTGAAATCAAGTCGATAAATGAGGTAGTGCCCTAAACAGCCAGAGTCCAAATTAACACAATTATAGGGTTCAGATTAATGACGAGTGGTGGTAGGTGCCCCGTGGTTGTGTGTGTCTGGGGGGAGGGGGGTGGTGCTGGAAAGCAGTAACAAGAAAAACCGACAGTGACTGAAAGTTGACCATGTGACCATGTGTCAGTGCACTGAATGCTCCACGTGCCTCATGTAATGGAATCCTTGCAACTACTCTGTGTGGCAGCAGCTATTACCCAATTTTACAGATGAGAAAACAGAGGCATCCAGAGGTAAGAGACTTGCCTACAAAACAGGTGATGCCCAACTCGCGTGGGTTTATGGTGAGAATCGGGATAGATGGTGCATGAAAAGTTCCAGACAAACAGAAAGCAATATGTGGTAGTTATTGCTGCCGTTGTCACTGAGGGAAAAGTGCTACTTGTGCATGTCCTTAAGGTGTCCTGGGTGTGCCAGCAGAGAAAGGACAGGTGAGGGAGGGCTGGCCCAGGTCCACTCATGAGCTACAATGGACCAAAGAAAGCCCTAAGGCTAGAGAGAGTCAAGGTTGTCCCAGAGCAAATCCCCCGCTGGACGGCTTGGCCTTGAGTCCCCCTGGGCCAGTGACAGGCAGGGAGGAAGACAGGCTGTGTGTGCTTGTCAGAGAAGCCATGTGTCTCCCCCCCCGCCGCCCCCCAGGAAGGGGTTTCAGGCTCACCCACTCCTATTGGTCTGTTTCGCAGGTAGTACCGACATCGCTCAGTACCGTAGCGAGAGTTAAATGAGACAGTGTTTGGTCTGATAGTGCTCACTAGATCCCCGAATAAGAAGCACTGATCTGAAGTGCCCAGTGATACCCTGCATACAGTAAGACACAATACATGCTAGTGGCTATTTGCACTCATGGCTGTAGGCATAGCAGTGAGATACACGAGCACAGAATCTTAAATAATCCTGAAATCATTGTGCCTTAATGAGGCCAAATCAGAAAATCTTAGTTGAATACCGTAGTTTCACAATGTAGAGGAGACCTGAGGGACTTGCAAGTTTTTGACTGCAGCCCACACGCAGTCAAATGTAAGGAATACATTTACTGTCACAGACCTATGTGCGCCCACACATTAAAACAACTGACACAGAAGTTCACAAGGCAATTCATCCTCACTCCATAGGGTACAACTGAATCTCTATTTCTTTTTCTAATGCTGGTTTTACCCCCTGAACTGATTTCACTTCCTGCCTCTGAGTTACCACCCACAGTTTGGAAAACTCTGATCCAGTCCCATCTCCTTCCCTGAGCTCCAAGCACGGCCACGTGTGAGACCTCCACTTATCGGAGACATAACAATGGTTCTAGATTTAAAGGATTTGAGTCACTTTCTCCTTTCAAACCCTCTCCTCTGGAGTGGGGCCACGTGTGGTGCTGGGAGGCGGGAGGCATGAAATATACAGAAGGGAGGAACCACTCCCAGGCCACTGGGGGAAGACTGGGGCCCTGGCATCGGACATCCAGGGGAGGGGAATGGAGGCAGGTAGGGGCACAGGAACACAGACATCTGGGTTGATGTTCTCCAGGTGGGAAAACCAACTGGAGATTTTCCCGCCCTGCTCTGGCTCTGTGACTAGAGGACCGAGGAGGGAGGGTCCGGGGTGGGGTGGGCTGCACGCACGTGCCCTCGGAGCTGTTGCTGTTGGTGCTCCCATCGGTGGACTCCCGGCTGCCCTGGCGCGTGACCCGACTCCGCATCTCCACGGCGATGCCTGTCTCCGTGCTCCTCCGGATGTTGCTGCGCAGCTTCTTGGTGGTCCCTTCTGTGACGGGTCCCCCACACCAAGCACAGAGAGGGAACAAGGTCAGATCACCAACGAGGCCTCTCTGAGAGCGCTGCTCAAAGTCACCCTCTTGGGAGGGGGCGTGGTGGGCAGGGCTGTGACCGGAGACAGGGGCATTGCTGAGATGACCTCTAGAGCTGGTTTGCAGCTGACCCCTGGCCTTGCTCAGGGCAGTGACACAGACAAAGCTGATCAGAAAGATGGCTGGAGGCAGAATCGGGACGATGGGCTGGGGGTGTGTGGAGTTACCAGGTAGAGCCCCCCTCCCCTCCCTGCAGCTCTTGGGCCGTCATCCTTGCCAGGCTCCCCTGACAGCTACCTTCCCACTCAATTTCAGCCTTTGCTCCAAAGGGTTGTGTTCCTGCCTCCCTCTTCTGGAAAGTTTGCCTTTTGCTGAATTTGCTCTCCCTCATGCACCTGTCTCGCTCAGACCTCACAGCCACCTCTCTGATACCTTCACAGGCCCTATAACAACCCCGATGAGAGGCCTGGGCACTCCAAACTAACATGCATTCTCCAGGTGGGTCTGGACATGAAGAGGCGATTAGGGAAGCAAGAGTAAGAGAGGATGGCTGGGTCGGCTTGAGTTGGCTATGGCTTTGAAAAGAGGTCTGTAGAAGACCCCTAGAAGCTGTGCAGTGAGAACTTGCCCCCCCCCCATGTCTCTGTGTCTCCTGTTCACAGGGCCCTCTACCCCCATCCTGCCCCACGGCTCAGCCTTGCAGGGAACATAGGACACTGTGCCTCTCCTAGCAGCACACCATCCAGCCTGGGTTTCCATGGCAACCTACTCAGCATTGCAATGTGGTCCCTCTAGACACCCTCCCCTCCTGGGGCCATCAGGGTCACAGAAGCCAGGTTGAGGGTTTATATGGATTTCCCCTGCTAAAGCTTGGCTGCTTGAGGAGCTTGATGGGGAGGGAAGTGCTGCTCAGATAGGGATTGTACCAAAGGAGCCCTTTGCTATCACTGGTTAGAGACCCAGGTAAATTAAGAATGAAGTTGGCTATAGGGGCGGGGAGCGGTAGGGGGGTGAAGCAGGCACTGAAGCCCCCTTAAAAACAATGGGGAAGGGGGAGCTGGTTACCCTGGCAACCCACCCATATCCAACGGTGAGGATATTCAAGACCTGCCCTGGGAAGAGGGGTGCTTTATACCTCTTGCTTTGTCCTACTTATCTTTCAGGAAGTCCCACTGGGAGAGGAAAGGCTAAAAGGGCTAGCGTCACTGGCAGACAGACAGGGGGGTGGGGCACTGGGAGTGGGAGGTGGTAAGGAGAAATGTCTCCTTTCAAACCATAAACCATCCCAGCTTCTGGGATATTGGAATAGCTAACTATCCAGGAATCAATGAGACCATCCACTTGTCTGTCTGTCTGCCTGCCTTACACACAGTCATGTTAGCTCACCTATATTTCTTTCATACCGACCGGCATAAGCAGACACACACAAGTGCTGACAATCATATTTATGAAGACAGTGATCCCACATACAAGGTTATGAGTATGTTCATACAACAGTCACAAAAGGTACTTCCAGGGTTTAATCATACATACACAAGACATACTCTGTCACAGAAATGTGTCCTTCACACCATAACACTTGCAGTTGAACCTATCCATTCAATCACACACATAGATGCACACCCACAAATGGTGCGTGACCCACCACACACAGAGGGCTGGGCAATAACAATGGGTGTTGAGGGACTCGCCCTGTCCCTGGCTCCTAACTGCCAATCCCCGCTAATGCAGTTAGAAGACAGACAGGTCTGTGGGAGCTGCACTCTACCCTCCCTCCCCTCGAATCCTCCACACACAACACATCCTGGGCTGAAGCCAGATCCTTGCCACCATATGACCCCAGTGCCCTTCTCCTAGAGCATGGGAAAGCTTTGGCCACTTGGGAGAAAATTTCCCTTCTTTGATCAGACCTGTCCAATCCACTGTGATGCCTAGTAAGGGAATCACAGAATCCTTGAAATGTTAGTGACACCTTGGCTAGCCCCCTGCCCCTGCCATTTCACAGATGGGGAGCTTGAGGTCCAGACATCCATAAGGCCGACTCCCCGTCTACTGATGCGCTACTTCTCACTCTTCTCCACCAATTCCACATTGATTTGAGATGTGATTCAGCAGAGACTAAGCCCCATGTCTTCTGGGTGGGGAGAAAGGTCTTGCAACCTTAGAGAACATTTCTCTACTGTTTCATACCTGTCCAGTCCCTGAACTCTGTTGACCCAGGGAGTAACTTTATAAAGCCTCTTTCCAGAGAAACGGGGCAAATTGCTTGCAATAATTCTGTGGTTGCCGGAGACTGAAAGACTCCAGGAACCATCCCATCTGTCTCACTGCATACAAGGGAGAGGCAGTCACAGCTCCCAACAGCACTCCATGGCATCTCCTGGAATGATGCTGAGCCTTCTCCCCACCTGACTCAGAGCCCAGAGCCCATGAGGAGCTGGAGCTGCTGTCCTCGGTGCTGAAAAGAGCTCAATGTGGGCAGGACTGGGACAGCCCAGGATGGCCTGTGTGGACCCAGTCTAAGGCTAGGCCAGAAGCCACCTGTGTCCTGAGACCCCAAAGCTCTCACCCTACCGCATTCACTGCTCCCACAACATAGAGAATGTTAGATCTAGAAGAAAGCTTGGAGAGAGTCCCTTCGAGCTCCATTTTCCAGAGGAAACAGGCCCAAAGGGAAGTGTCTTTCCCAGGGTCCCATGAGGAGTTGAAGCCAGGATTATTTTTTAGAAGCTACTCTATCGCAATGTGAGAAATAAACTGGAAGGGGTAGGCAGGAGGCAGGGAACTAGAGGGAAGGCTGGTGTAATAGTCCAGGCTTTGAAACAAAGAGGAGGGAGTGGGCGGAACTTGAGCCAATGCAGGGTATGGATAAACTAGGAGGAAGGAGGCCCCTGGGAAGGCAGACCCAGAGCCCAGAAGACTGGGTCCAGGACAGGAGTTCTTCCCCGCTTCACACAGCCTAGCCCTGCAGGGAACTGAGCCATCCCACCTGGGGCAACCGGAGATACCCTGCTGGGATCTTTTCCCAGAGAGAGTTTCCAGAGCTGATTCCCAAGGTGAGTCAGCCCCATACATCCCTCTGGAGCCAGACTCTCCCACCCAAGCTAGGACACTGACAACTCCCAGGCTTGGGAGGAAAACAAATGGGACATGGAATTACAGATGGGAGAGGGGTATGCCCCACGCAAGGGGCTGTGAAAGCCAGAGAGCTCACTTGCTTTTTGGCCCTACTGTTTGACTGTGGGAAATAATAACACCGGCAACGTTATTAAGTGTCTACTATGTACAAGGCTGTTGCCTTTGCATCTCCTATGTCATTTAATCCCCTGGACAACTCTGAGGCACAGATTATTGTCCTTATTCTACAAACGAGGCGGCGAACTCAGAGAGGTGAAGTTGCTTGCCTGAGTCCCCAGCTAGTAAATGACAGGGTGTGGCTCTAAAGGCCACCTTGAGTCCCTTTTTCAGGCTCTGACGCTTCATCAATAAAATGAGTACCTTGGACTAGATGAACTCAAGGGGCCTGTCCTGCTCTGACATTTGGTGACTGGATGATTCATAGAGACCTTCAGTTAGAAGGGCATCTGTGTATTCCCCTGGCTCAGGCCCCAGACCTTCAGCCGTGCCCTTGCCTACCCCAGGGACAAGTGATCCAGAAGCCCCACCATCACTCATCTCCCCTCGAGGCTGGGGGTCTCCTTGGTGTCCACTCCAATCCATGCCTGCTGACTGGTAGTCTAGGTAGGTGGACAGTCCCAGGCAGATCACTGGACTATCTTCTAGTGACTCGGCCCTGCCCTGGCCCCAAAAGACCGTTCCTCCAAATCGTTTTGGGCACAAAGGAGCCTTTGGATCGGAAGCTGACTCGGTTGGAGATCAGCAGGGCTTGGTCTTCTCAAGCCAGATTCCTGGGGCCCAACACCTCTTCAACCTCCTAACCTTAATACACCCGCCTTGGTCCTGCCCCAGCCCAACTCCTGGATCTCCAGGCCCCCTCTTCCTGACTCCCTCGTGTCAGGCCTACACTGTGGACATTCACAGGGGCCATGCCCGCCCACCCTGGGGCACTGATAACTGCAAGCCCCCTTCTCACTTAGCATTTCCCTGAGCCAGAAACCACATCACAGCCTGCATGCTGGAAAAGACCATCCCACGTGCTCCTGTGGAGGGCTTTATAAAAAGCTATTTTAAGGCCTGGAAAAGTCCCCCACCCCCAGCCCCAACTGGGGCTCTCGATGAGCATTCTCCCCGGATGCTCCGGCACCCCCGCCCCCTCACCGCCCCCACCCAGCTGCCTATTTGAAGGTTTCTCAGGGAAGTTGTTACTCTGAGAAAAATAAGCAGGAAGAGATTTTAATACACAACCAGCTGGTGTCTGGGCTGATGCCACACAATGAGGAGGTCTTGGTGGGGAGGGCTGGCTCCTCTGTGATGTAGGGTCCAGGTGTGACTGTGTGTGACAAGGCGGGTCGCCCTCCACTCTGAGCATAACTGGGATTCCATAACTAGACGTCTGAGCAAGTATAATACACATGTTGGGATGTAGCTGATAAAGTGTGTGAATATGGGGTTTTGTGAGATATGGGTGTACACATGTGTGACATGTTTCTGTGACCATGGACACTGTGTGTGTATTTGAGAGAGGGGGAGAGAGGGAGAGAGGGAGAGAGGGAGAGGGAGAGAGAGAGAGAGAGAACACTTCAGTGACCTGGGTCTGTCTGTGTTTGTGTGAATTGCATGATGACTGGCTTTATGTGTGACCATGTACAGTGTGAATGACTATCTTGTCCTTTCCTGCCAGTAGGGAGGTATAACCAAGCAAGGCATGTGTCTTTGTGTGCATCTCTCTCGTGTGACTTTGTAATGTATGTGTGTGACTGGGTAACTACATTTGTGTGGCTCTTTGTACTTAGGAAACTCGGAGATCACCCGTGAGGCTGAATCGTGGAGATCACCCGTGAGGCTGAATTGTGGGGATGTCTGTGCCTGGACCTGGCGGCTGTTTAATAAACAAATGCTGAATAATGTGTAAGTTTGTGCATGGACGTGGCACAGGGTAATGGTTAGGAGCATGAACTCAGAAGCCCAATGCTGGGGTTTGAATGCTCCTACTAGCTATGTAGTTTGGGGCATCTTACTTCCCTTCTCCGTGCTTCAGTACTTGCCTCACAGCGTTACATGAGGATTCAATGAGTCGGGTCATGTACTGGACCTAGAATAGCACCTGGTATCTGGTAAGTGCTACATAAGTGTTTGTCCCTGGGTGCAAGGTGTCCCGCCCCGCCCCGGTGCCCCACGCCCCCTCACCAGGCTGGGGGAGCTGGAGCGTGCTCTTGCTCCACTGGGTCAGGCCCACAATGGCCACCATCTTGGCGCCAAGGCTGCTACGCCGCTTCTTAGCAGTGGTGGTCCCGGGCCCGGCCCCGGCCTGCTGAGATCCGCAGATTTCACTGCTGATGCTGGAGCTCCGAACCACATTCCTGGGGCCTGCAGCCGAGGCTGGATCTGGCTCCCCGTTAAACATGGTCCCAGGGGCGGCAGAGCCTCAGGCAACTCTATGGGGAGATAAAGAGACAAAGGGGGTCCCACATCAGACCCCTGGGCCCTCTACTGCAGCCACCACTTAGCCGTGTGACCTCGGGCAGATCACCCGGCCTCTCTGAGGTTGTGAGGCTTCAATGAGCAAATAAATGTAAAGAGTGTTCACAGAGTCTGGCTCAATAAATGGAACTATTCTTATTAGCACATGGCTACCCTGGCAAGCAATGGGGTTTGGTGGTAAAGGCAGAGGCTGTGGAGTTAAATGGCCCACTCTTGAATTCCAAAGGCCTCTACACCAGTGGTTCTCAACCTTCCTAATGCCGCGACCCTTTAATACAGTTCCTCATGTTGTGGTGACCCCCAACCATAAGATTATTTTCGTTGCTACTTCATAACTGTAATTTTGCTACTGTTATGAATCGTAATGTAAATATCTTGATATGCAGGATGTATTTTCATTGTTACAAATTGAACATAATTAAAGCATAGTGATCAATTACAAAAACAATATGCAATTATATATGTGTTTTCCGATGGTCTTAGGCGACCCCTGTGAAAGGGTCGTTCGACCCCCAAAGGGGTCGCGACCCACAGGTTGAGGACCACTGCTCTACACACTAGCTGTGTGACCTTGGGACCAACAACCCGGGGTTTCGGTGAACACTTCAGCAAAACAAGAAGTACAAGCACTTACCTCATAGGATTGTCCTAGGGATTAAATCGGTGCCTGTGAAAGTGCCTGGAACAGCATCAGGCACAGAGTAAACATTCAGTAAGTGTTAGCGATGGTTAATTCACAGCCAATAATAACAACAGGGAGAGCAAAACTGGCTCCATCCTGTGCGGGCTTCGAGGAGGTCCTCCTGCTTGAAAGGGAGGGCACAGAGGGGTACAAAGAAGCAGGCAAGAGGCCCCCTTAACTGCACTACTGAGCAGCAGCCACTCTAAGCTCCTTAGCCTATTTCCTCCCAATCTCTTTTCTATGCATCTACAAAAATAATGGAATTCATACTACAAATCAATTTTAGATCCTGGTATTTCTCATTTATCCTCATATCACAAACATTTCCCAATGTCATTAACACTTTGTATAATTTTTTTAAATAAATGGTTTTTTTAAATGTTTTAAAAATATATATTTTCATTGATTATAGAGAGGAAGGGAGAGGGGGAGAGAGATAGAAACACCAATGATGACAGAGAATCATTAATCGGCTGCCTCCTGCATACCCCCTACTGGGGATCAAGCTCACAATCCGGGCATGTGCCCTGACTAGAATCAAACTGTGACCTGGTTCATAGGTCGATGCTCAACCACTGAGCCACACTGGCTGGAGGGCTTAATGTTTAAATGTTTTGATGCCCAAACATCCCATTGTATGGAGGTAGCTTAATTAACTGAAATATTAATAGTTACTTCTTAGATCAGTTCCAATTTTCTTCTTTCTCTCTCTGTTTCTCCATCCCCCTTTCCTTCCCTCCTGTCTTTTAAACAACACAGCAATAAACATCTTTCTACATTGATTTTTTTCTGCTTATTTCCTTAGGATTGATTCCCAGAAATGGAGTGACTAGTTTAAGGGGGTGTGGACACTGCTGGTAGCTTCCCCAACATCCATTCTTTCTCCCTGCTTCCTGACACACCGGTTTTATCCAGTACCACCCCACCACCCCGCCTTGATTAGTTTAAGCTAATCAATGAGTGTCAGTCACCTTGGTAACTCTTACTGGTCCATGTGACAAAGTTGGCCTAATCTGATTTAAGGGAAAGATTTGGTTTCCATGATTACAAGAGAGGTGGAGGTCTCTCTCTCTCTCTCTCTCTCTCTCTCTCTCTCTCTGTGTGTGTGTGTGTGTGTGTGTGTGTGTGTGTGTGTGTGTGTGTGTCCTGCTTCCCCTAGGGAAGGCCCAGCCATAGGATGAAGCCAGTGTGCTGAGGGCAGCACAGCACAAAGACAGAAAAGGCCTCGGGCCACCCTAAGCTGGCCTTTCTGTTATGTGAGATAATGTATTTTCCTTTGCTTAAGTCAGTTTGAATCAGGGTTCTCTGTTACATCCAAAAGCATCCTACCTGATACCAAGGGCACAAACATTTTTTGATTCTTGGAATATATTGCTAACTTCCTTTCCAAAGTATACAAATGGACTCCCCCTTAGCTGCATTCAACAAATATTTAAGCCCTTAAACTTCCAAGGCCTATGTTGAGTGCCAAAGATACAGTAGTGAGCCAGGCCAACTTCACCCTGCCCTCCCAAAGCCTCCACTCCAGGAGGAGATAGATAGTAAACAACTAATAACGCAATTAAGTATTTCAGGGCAGTTCTGATGAGTATAGGGGAGAGGACAGGGGGCCCTGGGAGCCACTCTGGGGGCCAGGCAGCAGGCATCTTTGGCTCTGTGTTGTAGAGGTGGGATCTCTGGTATCAGCCCTAGGATTGGCCGAGTATTGGAGAGGAGGCCGCTCTAGCATGCTCTGCGCCCAGTGGTCCAGGCTCTGTCCCGGCCTACAGTGTTTTTCCCAGGACAGCTCCCCATCCCAGGGCTCAGGGGCACTTTGCTTGACCCTCTGCCCTCAGGTCTGTCACCCTGAGGAAACCCAACTTTTCAAAAGCACAAAGAAAGGGGTGGGAAAGGGAAGGCACCCCTCCAGCTAACGAGGAAGACAGATCCTAGGCAGCTGACAATGGCTGCCTGGCCTTCCGGTAGGTGTGGCTCCTGCGGGCTGGGAATTAGGGCTGCCAGTGGGGATGAGTCAAAGCCGTGTCTTGCCTTCTTTGTGGCTGTCTGGACTGTTCTCACTCACCCTGCGATGTGTGCAGAGCCCCGGATTATATTTCTCCATCCATCCCCCATCAACATTGCAGCTAATGGAAAGTCCCCTGGACTTGGGCCTGTGATGATCTCTTCTCTTTACTTTCCAATTCTAGTGCCAGTTGGGGTGTGTTTGGGGGCATCTGCACAGCCTTTTGGTGGATGGTGGGAGAGCGCTTATCTGATACTTTGAATCTGCTACAGCGTAAGCCCAACTTGCTCTTGACAGTATTTGTTAGGTGTGTGGTTATCTCCATGTCGCAGATGAGAATACTGGCTCTCAGAGATGTGGAGGCCTAGCTCATCCGACTCAGCTAAGAAGTGGCAAGGCCTGCACTCAAACCCAGGTCTCCGGTTTCCACAAAGAGTCAGACACACTCTGCAGCCCCTGCCCCTTCAACCCAGAACCCACCCCAACATGTGGGCTTTGCCCTGAGTCTCTGGGCTCTTTGAGAAAACTGCCCCAGAGCAGCCAGACTACAGGACACTCAAGTACACCACTCCCAGGGGACGAGCAGGTAGGAGGGTAAGGGACAAAATTCCTGACCCTGCCAACCCAGGGAATCATATTTCCTCATGAATAATCTATGGCACAAACAAGCGGATGGCTTGACATCCAGGACTCTGCACCCTCCAGAGCCACATTCTCGTCTTTAACCACCCAGGGGCCTGAGAGCTGATGAGTGCCTGGAGGGTGGAGTCTGTGAGCACACATGCAGGGGCAGGCTCAGGACGGGGCTCTAGTTGCTTCTATGGCAGCCAGTCCAGCTCAAGAAGGACAAGACAGAGAGACAGACAGAGCTGGCCACCTGGCCCCTATGAGGAAGGAAGTCCTACTGCATAGCAACCCCTGAGCCATCAGGCCACAGGGACAGGAAAAGAGCAGCAGGCAGAGGGGGCCGGAAGGATACAGAACACAGAACCTCACGTTCTGGCAGTTTAAAAGATTGCTGATTGAATGACATCCTTTCCACAGAAATCACTTCAACAATTCCCACCTCTGAGCAGGACTCTCCTTTCCCAGCCCAGTTTAGGGCACCCCAAGGAAGGGAGTTGTCCCCGGATCTCGTTGGATCAGGGGGCCTTGCTGTCAAGTTCTCCCTGCTGACCCTGCTCTGTGGCTACAGCAGCATCTAAAACTACAGCTCAGACTCACCCTCTGGAGCAGCGGTCGCCAACCTTTCGGACCTCACGGACCACCAGTGGTCCGCGGACCACCGGTTGGCGACCGCTGCTCTGGAGGAAGCTGCTGCCTTGGCTGCTGCTCTGACTCCCACCAAAGCCCCACACTAGCAAGTACCGCCCCAGTTCCCCACCGAACAAGCCTTGTTTTCTTCCTGGCCCTTGATGTTTGGCCGAGGTCTGAGTACCCAGCTGATGAGAACGAGCTCAGGAGTTGAAACTGATTTGCCGTCCCTTTTCCATCCTGAGCCTTTCATTCTGCGAAGTTGGAAATCAAGGTCCAGAACGGGAGACACACCCAGTCCCAGAAAGTTGGTGACAAATCAGAGCTCCAACCCAAGGCTCCTAACTCCCAGGTCCCACATCACCTTGAAGAAAACCCAAACTCACCAAACTGATGACTCTGAGCGTGGTGTTCCACATCACAGGGGGCTGTGCCCCTCCCAACAGCACTCCCCTAGGGCATTGACAGGAGGCTTCTGTTAACTTCTTCTGGGACACCAGTTTTCAAGAAAGGAGGTGAAGGCAATCAGGGTAGCTCCCAGGAGGAGGTGATGTGATAAGACTCTGGAAGGAAAGAGGAGAGCTTAGAGGAGGGACTAGAGAAGACATCTGTCTTCAAGGGCTTCCAGTAACTCGTGGAGTAAAAAGACAGACTTTGGACATAGCTGTATGACCTCGAGCAAACCACTTCAACTCTCATTCTGTTTCCTCCTTCATAAAACAGTCCAAACTCCTGGGTCCTCCCCTCCCCCACCACGCCACCCTCCCTCCAGGCCTTTAGGAACCTTTAATGTCAAGCTGCTGGAGCTGAAGCTCCACCCACAACTTTAAGACTTCTAACCCATGGAGGACTCATGTTAATCAGCTCTAGACCCTATTCTCCCTTCCTCTGTCCTCCCCCTGATTAATGGGGTCTGTGTTCCTCCCCAGACACTCTGTAACATGCCCAGCAGTCAGGAATGTTAAGGGTAGGTCAGGTGGGGAGCAGAGGGTGGGGACTCCTGACTCCACCCCCAGCCATGTGACCCTAAGCAAGTCACTCAGCTTCTCTGAACTTCCATCTCCTCTTCTATAAAATGCACCTACTGGCCACCTGGACCCAGCTGGACTCCCAGGCTGGACTGGGGAGCAGGTGAGATCGTGAGGAGCAGGAAAGCATAGTGATTAAAAACCCAGGTTGGCCCTAACCGGTTTGGCTCAGCTGATAGAGCGTCGGCCTGCGGACTCAAGGGCCCCAGGTTAGATTCTGGTCAGGGGCATGTACCTCGGTTGCGGGCACATCCCCAGTAGGGGGCGTGCAAGAGGCAGCTGATTGATGTTTCTCTCTCATTGATGTTTCTAACTCTCTATCCCTCTCCCCTCCTCTCTGTAAAAAATCAATAAAAAATATTTTTAAAAAAAAACCCAGGTTGGTTTGGCTCAGTGGATAGAGTGTCGACCTGCAGACGGAAGGGTCCTGGGTTTGATTCCAGTTGAGGGCACATGCCTGGGTTTCGGGCTCAATCCCCAGTAGGGGGTGTGCAGGAGACGGCCATCAATGATTCTCTCTCATCATTGATGTTTCTCTCTCTCCCTGTCCCTTCCTCTCAGAAATCAATGAAAATACATTAAAAAACAAACAACAACAACAAAACACAAAAAACCCAGGCTTTGGAGGCAGACAGACTTAGTTCAAAACCTAGAACTGCCATTTATAAGCTGTATGACCCAGGGACATTTCCTTAACAAACCTCCTGAGCCTACCCTTCCTCATCTCTAAAGTGGGAATAATAATGACAGCCTTAGGATTCTTAGCTGAAATATTATAAAATAAGGATTGGTCGTGTTAAATGCTCACTTGGGCAGTTACATTATTACTACAGTGGGGCCCTGACTTACGAGTTTAATTCGTTCCGAGACCGAGCTCGTTAAGGAGCTCATTAAGGAGCTCGTTAACTCAAATTACTCTATCACCTCAACGCAAAAAATCGGCCGAGAGACAGCTGGTATCTCAAAAAATTCGTTAGTCGGGACACTCGTAAGTCAAGGCCCCACTGTACTCATAAGGGTGCCTTTGTAAACGGCAAAGAACTGCACAGGTGTTAGTGCTTATGGGTCTGGATTACACACCAGATGCAACCACTTCACCAGGAGGCTCAGAGACCAACAGGGTCACCTCCCACTCCAGCTCTGGGTGCTTCCCGAGTGTGGAAGCGCTGGGTTCCTGTGCCTCTCAGTGGAGTGGGGGCTGCCATGTGAGGCTGTGCTCTCTTTTGCCAGCATCTTCATGCCTGGGCCCTCGCTGGATGCTGGACCTGGCATTTGAGACCCCTGCCCCGACCCCAATCCTGCGCACTACATCACCCATGCCACTCTGCCCATGTCAGAGGCCAGTGCCTGCAGTGCCTGCATCCACCGAAGGGGAGAGGAGTTCCCTTGTTTCTAGAATTTCCTTTCCCCCTCAGGCATGGTGGAGAGGAAGGCTGGGCTGAAGGAGCACACCCAGCCTGAGTGGGGAACACTGTGCCAGCTCTTCTCCTGATTGTCTAACCGTTATCTCCCCCAAGCAGGCTCGCACACACACACACACACACACACACACACACACACATACACCCCGGGAGAGAGACAGGGCACAGAGTTTCAAATTTGTGATCACAGGCCATACAGGCCCACACAGGTGATACACACTTAAAGACACAATCACATGCACACATACCTTTAAAATACTCAGCCACACAAAGGCACACAGCCCGGCCAGCATGGCTCAGTGGTTGAGCATTGACCTATGAATCAGGAGGTCATGGTTCAATCTCTGGTTGGGGCACATGCCCAGGTTGTGAGCTCGATCCCCAGTAGGGAGCATACAGGAGGCAGTCGATCAATGATTCTCTCTCAACATTGATGCTTCTACCTGTCTCTCCCTCTCCCTTCCTCTCTGAAATCAATAAAAATATATTTAAAACGCACACACACACACACACACACACAGGCACACAGAAGCAGCCACACTGATAGCCACAGGCCTTCACACAACCACATCTAACACACACACACACACACACACACACACATACACACACACCCTCCCCTTGGCCCTCTCCAGCCCAAAGACGCAGGAAGAGCTCTATCCCTTTAGAGGGCAGGTTCCCAGGAAGTGTCTTACCTGGATCTGTGGGTTCCCTTGGTCAAGGCACACACACCAGCTCTAAGCTGGTGCTTGTGTGAGCTTGAACACACACACACACACACACATGCACACACACACACATGCTCCAGCCCCCAATCTCACCCACCTGGCCCCCATCCCAGCAGGCTGGACAAAGGAGCTCATCGGTGAGGTTTGTGGTGAGGAGATGAGAAGGCTGGCAGGGAGCAGCTGCTGTCACCATGGCTACCGAACTGACCCACTTCTTCTCCACCCAGCCTGGCCCACCCCATCACACACAGTAAAGGGGCAGCCCTCTGAGGGTGTGGTAAGGGATGGACTGAGCATTAGATAGGCTGCGCCCTGCATGGGAAGGCAATATCCAGACATCCCTTGAGGAGAGCAGGGTGCTAAAGAGATGGCCCCTGCGAGACCTAACCCCTGGTCTCCCCCAGCATCAGGGTCTCTGGCCTCAGGGACCTACACGGATCATGCACTTGCCCTCGACACATTTTCAGACACAGTTCTCACAGCAGGGCAGGGTGTGGAGTGGCCAGGCCCAAACCTGTGTCCCCCAGACTCCAAGGACTCAGGACTACATAGTGAGGCAGACTCAGAGCTGGGTGAGCCCTGTGTCCTGTTGGGAACGAGGTTCCTGAGGGCAGGGCTTGCCTGCCCCCCTCAGGCCAGGGGTTGCCGGGGCTTGGCCATGCATCTTCCCTCAGAGACGGGGACATGGAGGAACAACAAGCCCTCAGACAGCTCAGTCTTGTGAAGCAACAGCTCACAAAGCAGAATGAATCACTCCTGTGTGACAGCCTCCCGTAGCTCCCCACTGCCTTCAGGAGCAAGTAAAAACCCCTCACCAAGGCCTACGAGCCAAGTGACCCAACTCACCCCGTGCTCTTGCCCCTCCTCTGTATTCCAGTCACACTGGCCTTCTTTTCATGCCTTTGTCAGCAGTCTGCCTGGAGTGCTCTTCTCCAGCCTGCCTCCACCCTCCTGCTCTGAGGCCCCGATGTCTGCTGCACTGCCTGGGCCTGGCTGATCCCTCCGCATTGCTCAGTCCCAGTTTGAATGTCATTTCCTAGGAGAGTCTCCCCAGATGAGGTGAGTCCCATGTCATGCTCCCCTAGACTCTGTACTGTCCCTGCCTGTTGTGGGTTGCATTGTGTCGCCACACAAAAGATATGTTGAGGTCCTAACCCTGGTATCTCAGAGTATGACCTCAGAATAGGGTCATTGCAGATCTGATTAATTAGGTTGAGCTCATTCTGGAGTAGAGTGGATCTGTAATCCAATATGAACAATGTCCTTATAAGAAGCTAGCCATGGCCCGGCCAGTGTGGCTCAGTTGGTTGAGCATTGTCCCATGTACCAGGTTGCCAGTTTGATTCCCGGTCAGGGCTCATGCCCGGGTTGCAGGCTTGATCCCCAGTAGGGGGGCATGCAGGAGGCAGCCAATTGATGTTTCTCTCTCACATCGATGTTTCTATCTCTCTCTCCCTCTCCCTTTCTCTCTCTGAAATCAATAAATATATGTCAGACTGCTGACAAAGGCATGAAAAGAAGGCCAGTGTGACTGGAATACAGAGGAGGGGCAAGAGCACGGGGTGAAGAGATTCGTGCAATAGGCCTTCCCTTCTCCTGGCTGTGGGCACCGGTTTTCCTCCGGCACCCGGGACCCAGGCCTTCGCTCTGGCCAGAGCCGCCTTCTGTCCTCCGTCTTTGCCGCCCCGGCCGGAGCCGCCTTCCGTCTTCTGTCTTCGCTGCTCTGGCTCGCCTTCAGTCTTCACTCCTCCACTTGGAGCCTACGTATGCAAATTGACCGCCATCTTTGTTGGTGGTTAATTTGCATATCACACTGATTAGCCAATGGGAGGCGTAGCGAAGGCACGGTCAATTACCCCGTTTGTCTATTATTAGATAGGATATTGGCCATGTGAAGACAGAGATACTTAGGGAGAAAGCATTGACAATGGAGGCAGAGATTAGATGATACAGCAACAAGCCAAGGCTGTCACCCAAATCCTGGAGAGAACCATGGAACAGAGCATCCCTCAGAGCTCTCAGAAGGAACCAACCTGGCCAACACCTGGATTTTGGACTCTAGTCTCCAGGATTGTGAGAAAATAAATGTATGTTGTTTAAGCCATCTAGTCTTTGTTAAGCACTTTGTTACAGCTGCCCTAGGAAACTAACACACTGTCATTCCTAGCTTGTTCAGGGCCTGCCTCCCACACCTACACCCCCACCCCCTGGCTGTGAGCTGCTTAGAAATAGGAGCCACTTCGTCTTCTCCATCCTAAATCCCCAGTGCCTGGCACAGATCTGGCATATAGTAGGGCTCTGTAAATATTTGATGAATGACTGAATGGCGACCTAAAATAAATATGAAATTAACTGTATTTATAACTGGGTAGTAGAACTGTAATTC